GCCAGGCCTTCCTGTCCTTCACTGCCTCCCTGAGTTTGCTCAGTTTCATGCTCAAACCCCTTTGAATAGTGCCCCACTATTCTCTTCTCAAAGTCCTTCATAAGTTTAGCATGTCTCGTCTGTAAATTCAAGGTAAGAAGTTATCCAAATCACTCTTCTGATTTATTATTTGTATGCCCCCTTTAATTATTAAGAGATCAGCAGGATTCATTTGAAAATCCGGGGTAGCATCTTTTTCCATATCATTCTGGTAACCTGACATTTCCAAATCCACTTTCAGATTCAAGTTCAAATCAGTGAGAGTCTATTTTGTCCAGAAAAATCTGTTCTATAACTTCTTTTAAATCCATTTTTATAACAGTGGACAATCTTAAGAGTAATTTCTAGGTGCATTGTTCCCAAATAACCTTGAATTCTTCCAAAGTCAGATATTTTGCTCCATTCTGTATTAATGGATCTCTTCTCCTTTAATTATCTTTAGTTCTCTCTGGTTCCCTCTAGTGTCCAATCTTCAACTCCCCTCTTATCCCGTTTTCTTTCTAATCAACAACTTTCCCATGGGAAGGTTTCTTACAATTTGTTTCCAAAAAAAATTTTTTTTAAACAACCCACAGGAAAGATTCTTGTAATTACTTTCAAAATCTTATTTCAAGTCCTTCTGAGCCCTTAATCCGTTTATAACTTTCCAAAATCAATGTTCTAATCATCCTTTTGCTGTTTATTAAAAAAAAAAAAATTAAGTCCTTAAAGTTGCATGAAACTTTTCAAGGATGGAAGGAAACTCACCCAGTGTAATCAAACTTGCCTTTCCAAAGGTTCTTAATATCCAAAAAGCCTTTAACAAGCAATTTCCATAAGTAATTAATAAAGAATGCAAACCCAGTGTCCTTCTGAAGGTTCCGAGCCACACCTTGGGCAAAGCTGACTTTCCCACGGCCTCCAGCGCTCTAAAACCTGCTGGAGATCACTCTCTTATGGCCTCTTTGCAGGGATCCACTATGTAGAGCGCTTGTGGGCAATCCTGGTCCTCTCCTTGCTCTGGAGAGGAATTCTGAGGTGCCCATCCACTCACCAGCGTCTTTCCACCACGGTGGTCAATCCACCATTACTTCCCTAGAAATCTGGTCACTGAGCAGGAGTTAAATAAATAGGACTGCAATTTTAAAAAGAACTCTGTCCATTCACACGTCTTTAACAGGGATTTTGCTTACTAAGATATTAGCTTCTGGCTTACTGATCAGTACAATCCAAAATATCACCTGATTTGTACATGTCAAACTGGAATTAAAGAGGCAACATGGGCCATGGAATTTTCCCTACCTGGCCACTCAAGTGCAAAATTCAGCTACAGGTAGTCCTCACTTACCAACCACTCATTCAGTGACTGTTCAAAGTTACAACAGTGCTGAAATAGTTTTACAACTGGTCCTCAAAACTGCAGCCATCAGTGTCCCATGGTCATGTGATTATGATTTGGGTGCTTGGCAACTGGCTCGCACTTACAACAGTTGCAGCAGTATCCTGCAGTCACCATTTGGGACCTTCCCTGCCAGCTACCCACAAGCAAAGTCAATGGGGAAGCCGGCAGGTCACAAGTCATGGTCACATGACATCTCACTTAATGACCCGCATAGGATTTGCTGAATGACCACAGTGGAACTGACGTCATCAACCAGTGTGGTCACGTGATGTTTCACTTAATGACCACATCGTTAGTGACAGAGTTGCTGGTCCTAAATGTGGTTGGTGAGGACTACCTGTATTTTACAATGTAAAATATAATCTCTCTCTTGGTTTACAGTTCTGGAAAAAGGAAACAAATGCACAGAAAGTCTTGCAAAGGCTAATGTAGATTGCTCAAATTACTCTGAATCTTAGAAACTGTAGAGGAAGGAGCGGATGCCCCAGCTTGCTTTTCTTGCAGGTCAGTCCTCACACTCACACATAAACACGATCCGCCAAGGCCAGACGTGAGGCTGCAGCAAACGCAACCAAGATGGGAGCCACCCAAATGAAACTTGAGGACTGCTATAAGCACAGAACTGAAGCCAGCCTGCTGAAGCATTCACATTTTAGAAACCGGCTTTCCCCAAATTGGCACCACAAGCCCCAAGGTCTCTGCTAGCTTGGGAACGTGCGGAGTTGCAGTCCAGTGTCATCAGACTGGAGACGTCCAAGACAGATCCTAGTTCACACAACCCAGGGATGGGTCAGCCCCCTTGTGTGTCTGCAATACGCTTCCAACTGCAGACTAGGTAAGGACCTTTTCCATTAAGGGGGTGCAGCATCTGAGATTCGAAGAGAAAGGGGCTCTGGAGCGCACAGGTGTGTGACAAGGTTGCCCCTGCGTGCAACAGCTTGCACCAAAGGCACCTTTCCCTGGAAGCACACGCCAGCTGCGCAGCATGGCCATGCGACCCCAGAGGCGGCAGCTCTGCGTGAAGCGCTGTGGTTACACCCTGCGGCCAGTCCAAAATGCCGCACAGCCGCAGCTCACGATGGGGCGAAAGGAAGCGGCGGCTTTTCCACCTGCTTGTTTGTGTTCAAGGGGAACAGAAATGGGGCAACCCCCAAACTCACCCCCTCTTTGGAACATCCAGGCCACCCCTTAAGGACTGTTCGTGTAAAAATGAAAAAAAATGAGCTTGTGATTTATGGTTTTGATGATTAGACAGGACAGATTATAGAAAGAAGAGTCATGATGTTAACTTTAGAGGAAAAAGGTTAAAATACAATTGTACTTATAACTGCTGTGAAGAATATTGGAAGGCACTTCTCTATACAGTGGTACCTCGGGTTACGAACACCTCTGTTAAAGAACTTTTCGGGTTATGACCAGCTCCGGCTGCAAAAATTTACCTCAGTTTGCGAACTCCACCTCGGGGTACGAGCAGGATACGTGGCCATTTTCCCTCCCGTGACACGGTCCTCGGCCATTTTTCTGCCTGACACGTGGTCCGCGGCCACTTTCCGCCCCTGACACGTGGTCCGCGG